AAATATTGATGTGCTGACTAGTTGATAATGCTAGATTATGATGTTGAGCTATAATTGATGAATATTGTTGTGTTGTGAGCTGTTAAGCTATGTTGAATATTACTAGCTGGGATGTAAGCTGTTATTGTTGTAAGCTGTTAATGTCGTATGTTGTTATTGCTGAAAAGCTGTATTGTATAATGTTGAGCTGTGTTGTTTAGCTATATATGCTGGATGCTGATATTGTTGTGCTGTAAGTTGTTAAGTTGAGTTGTATGCTGTTATAGCCACTAATGTGGTGTTGTTATAGCCGCTAAGTCGGTGTTGTTATAGCCACTAATGTGGTGTTGTTATAGCTGCTAAGTCGATGTTGTTATAGCCACTAATGTGGTGCTGTTATAGCCGCTAAGTCGGTGCTGTTATAGCCACTAATGTGGTGCTGTTATAGCCGCTAAGTTAGTGCTGTTATAGCCGCTAAGTCAGTACTGTTATTGAAGAATGTTGTGATATATTATAGGCTGATATTATTAAGTTGATTGATGTGCTGATAGCTGTAGCTGTTTACTATTCATATATTTATATATGTATGTTGTTTCTTTTCACTAGCTTACCCTTTGTTGTTTCCATGTGATTTTGATTGCGATGATCATACTATGTATGGGAGCAGAGCAGGGTTAGGTTGGTGTTTGCTGAGGAGGGTCTGCAGCTAGCAGATGGAGTCTTATTCTTTTAATGTATTTAGCTACTTAGTTTAGCATTTGCTGGATGTATTTTTGTACACTCTGACTCTAGCCAGATTTGGACCTTGTATATATATATATTCTAGACCCTATACGTATATACTTGGCTTTTGTACATGTTCTATGTGTCCAGAACGGGCCGTTCTGAATTCAGAACAGGTCGTTCTGGTCGTAGCCTGATGCTTATAAATAGAGCGTTTTGCACTCTCTAAAACTGATTTTTTCATTTTCTAATATTTTTCCTCCTTCCTCTTTGAAGACGAAGGGGAACCTAGAGGGGGTGACCAATAAGATTCGACTCCAGCTTATCGAGGTAAGGGGGGAGTGAGAAACCTCACTCTGGGTGTGGGATTGTATGCTGGGTAGTGGGATGGGCCCCCAATCCTGTGTTTGTTGTATTTTTTGTATGCTCATGTATGAGGGGTTTCTCCCAATTGTATCTATTTTGCTTATTATTTTTCTCATATGTAATTAATTGTATGATTTGAGATCTCCATGGGTTCATATAGGAAAGAAACCCTATGAGAAACAGACAAAATATGAATGCTTTCTGTTTTGTATCTGATTGCTCTATTGTATTCCTTGTTGAATGTAATGTGTAAGTATGTGATTAATTTTGAGAATAAATATGTTTTGATATGATTTAGAGTGCTCTATGGGTTCCTGCGGGAAACCCTATGAACCATAGGCAAAATATGAATATTTTCTGTTTTGATTTCTGATTGTTCTATTATATTCCTTGTTTGATGAGATGTAAAAATATGTATTTGATTTTATAAATAAACGATTTTTGATATAAATTAAAGTACTCTGTGGAGGCTTTGTGAATATGATGAGATAATGTGAAATGTGATTGAGACATGAGATATGAAATGTGATAATGAAATATGATGATGAAATGTGATGATGTGATATGACCATAGGAAATGATAATGTGATATGAGAATGCATAGAGTCTTAATTGACATGCATCATTTGCATAAGTGTTTTAAGGGTACGATATGGAATACACCGTCAGAGAAGGCCCCCTAATGTAAAAGCTTTGGGGATTAGTCCTTGGGGATAACTCGGTTTGGAAGTCCCAGTCTCGCCCATTGTGTGCATGGGATGTATCTTGCGCGGCTTAGCTATCCCGACGAGACTCTGGTAGTATATCCTTCTAGTGAGAGTGCGCAGAGGGTGTGACCCGGCATGTACTCCTAGACTACTCTTCATGTATTGCTAGCGGCAATATGCCATGTGATGTTTTACTGGCGCCACATGCATGATAATATGTAGTCCGTGTCCATGCATGTGCATTCTTATTATTAAATGATGATAAATTACTATTTGTATGACTTGGATGATTGGATAAGCTATTGTTGTTGATTGATCTATGAGGTAACTGTATTGTTTGTATTTGGCTATCCGGTGTGCGTTCCTACACCGTGAGCCAGAGTGAGATGTTTCTCACTCCCTTCTTTTGTGTTATTTCTCTTGTTTGACATACAAGAGACCATCAACAACATGAGGCTAAGGATGTGGACGATTGAGCTTAGGCTTCTATGTGGGATTTTGCTCTGATAGGACATGTGACATCGGGATATAGATAGAATTAGAATGTGATGTTGTTTATGTTTTATTAAAGTATATATTTTTGGAAAATTAAATTTTATTCTTTGTAATTTTATTTGCTATTTGGATTAAGGACATGAATGTGAATTCTCTACTCACATGATTATTGGAATTGTCGTTTCAATTTTAAATATTTTTTTTATCCAATAAGATATTTCTTTTTATTATATATATATATATATGTTGGGGTAGAGGGTGTCACACGGCTTCGCTATCCCGACGAGACCCTAGCACTACATCCTTCTAGTTGAAAGTGAACGGTAGATCCGGCATGTACTCCTAGACTACTCCAAGTATGTTGCTTCAGCAGCATACCATGTGATATGTGATTATGAGACACGTGACTGGCGCCACATGCATGCATTTATGAGTCGAGTCCATGACATCATTGCATAATGAATGACTGTGTATGTGTTACGGTTGTATGTATAATTTAAAATTGCACCTGATTAATGTGTAGCTATGGATGTGCTTGTTAGGACTTGTGTGTGTACTGGCTGACTATTATTTTTACACCTAAACCCGAGTGAGATGTTTCTCACTCCCCTGTTTGCTCTATGTGTATTTTATTGTGTTGTAGGTGATCATCAACATGAGGATGTTGGTGATGCGGCTTAGGGTTCAGTTGGGCGTGCTCTGATAGGATATGTGACATCGGGACATAGTTAGGCTTAGTTAGGATTTCCTTATTGTTACTTTGTTTTGGAAAAACTTATGTTTCATTTTCTTGTAAATTTCATATTTGGCCATAATTTACGTTTATGAATGTGAATTCTCTACTCTTATGTCAGTGGAATCATTCTTTTGATTCAAAAGATCTTTATTACCTCAAGAATGTTTTATAATTATTGTATATGTATGCTGGGGTAGAGGGTGTCACATTTAGTGGTATCAAAGCCTGGTTGATTCAAACCGAACGTGTGTTATGTGCTTATCATGATTTTGTTGTGTACTCTGACAATGTTTTGTTTGTTGTGTACCTTCATGATGCTTTGCTTTGTGATGATGATGATGATCATGATGTTTCCTTGTGTTGTTAGCATTGTGTTTGATTGTGTGTTGAGTTCTCAAAATATGGCTAGTAGATATGATATAACTTAATTGATGCTATTTATATTACTTTTCTTCATTCTCATGATTTCTTATTTGTTTTAATACTTCTTGCTTACGTAAGAAGTAGTGACTGAGTGGTATTGCTTGTGTTGCAAGTATATGTGCAAGTAGTAGTGGATGAAGCATCGTCCTAATTAATCAACTAGAAACTTTTACAATACATCACAAGCAAGGGATTGGGGGGTCAATCCAACTACCCAACAGATATTTTCACACCCCTAAGTGAGGTTTCTCATTCCCCCTTACCTTGTTGAGTAGAAAAAGATGAATGATCAACTCCGGGATGGTTTCCTCCTTCTTCAAGTTCTCTTTCTTCACCATTATACTGCATATAATAGCTATTAATAAAACATTTTGTATTGATTTTTATTGTTATTAAATATAATAATGAATGTCAGTAAAAATTTGTCGAAGTCATGAGACTGTACATCACCCTAGGATTTTTGCAAGGAATCCCTATAATATCTTGGGGTCATAAGTGCGTATGAAGGAACATAAAGTGAGGACTCTAGGGCTACTGGGTGGCAGGTTAAACTCGCTAAAGGAACTCGCATAGCATTTCGTTAAAACTATTCTTATGTACTCCCTCCATTTTTTTTCATTGTTTTTAAGGTTATGCACAAGAATTAAGACAATGATTAATATTTTAGTTTTCCAAAGTATTTATTACCTATTTTCTTGTTATACTCTTTAGGTGGTTGGAGAAGAAATAGGTACATTGGAAAATGAATAGACACATTGTTAATTTAGTAAACATACATTAATTATCAAGGGTAAAAATGAAAAAAAAATTAATAAGTCATTGATTTTAGAAAAGTGACAATGAAAAAAACAACAAATAAACGACTTTGAAAAAAAAATGGAGGGAATAACTTATTAATTTATACTCGTCTAAAAATATTAATTTGTTGGGATTGTAGAAATATCAAACTTATACGCAAAAGACAAGGAAAAATTAGATACGGTTTTCAGTGCATTGTGAGCAATTTGTAGGCTCCAATATTATGAAAATTTTCGATTAGAAAACATTTTATATTAAATTGAAACTCACAACAGACTTTTCTAGTTCCGGTTCTGCAGATTCTAAGTCTGCCTATTATAAGAACATATGACAGCTCAACCAACTTCATTATATAAAGAAGCCTTAGATCTCAACAAATGCAATGCAATCAAAATGCAATTACGCGTATAAGAAAAATAACATAAAACAGTCACAACGGGTATTGCATCTATATAAGGAAATTATAGAACGAATGACCTTATCGTTAAGTGAAGAATGAAAATAACTCTTTTCCTGCAGTCTGTTTAAAACTTTTAGAAAACCAACCCAAGAATAAAATATTTGAACGAGAGAATCAATTTCTTTTGAAGAAGATCATGTACTAGCTTACTATTATTTATATAACAGAATGCAAGGAAATTCAACCATTAGCATTTAGCCACAGCCGATAGGATAATCCAACAAATTAAACAGGCTAAACAACCGCACTTACTTTAAATGGTAAGTTCTGAAACCATTGAGAAACAAACAACCAAATGTAAGATAGCAAAAGTTCAGTATGGCAAAGTCAAGCTTTGAACATAATCATAAGAGACATAGAAATGTGAGTGGACATTGAAACCATGAGTATGGTCTATTCTAGTATCTCTCAGATTATAGACAACATATAGTGAACGTACTTCGTCTGCCAAAAGCAGGATATCTTCATTTTCAGACATGAACAAAGGCATGAAATTAAGTGCAAAGGCATGAATTGGATAATGATGGTACTCGTAACTAACATTAAGAATCTGAGTCCAAGATTTTTGAATTCCAAACTCCCTCATTAGCCAAACAACAAAATGGGTATCCTTGTAATCAAGAGAAAGACACAGACATCCTTTCAAAACCCCAAGATAAGGCTCACGAGCAGGGACTTCAAGAAGACCATGAGGCATCAACAAATATCTGTACGTATCATTCTTTAGATCATAAGAAAATATTACTAAGTCATCAACAGTAACAATATCCCAATCATAACCATCAGGTCCATTACCGACGCTGCTAAGTGCTAACCAATTAAGAGTGCCACTTACTAACTGTCCAACAACTGGATCTGGCAAGGGAAAAAGGGGGCAATTTAAAGTCTTCTTCCAAACAGAAATGCCCCAGGTGAGAACTCTCGTCTCCCTTTTATAAGACTGAACATCCAAAAGGATCATCACCACCTTATAATTGCCACTCAAATCATCAAACCCAAATCCAAATTTCAGATAATATAGTTCATTTTGATAATCAGAGTCAAAAAGAACTATGTATGGCGAATCTTCGGACATGATTCTCGTGGCGGGGTTCCAAAACCGGACCCAGTATTTGATATAATCATCTGTCTTAAAATAACTGCATATGCAAACTAAGCCATTGCATGTACCTATGACAATGCTAGTTTCACTGAAACGGCGGATACAATTATTTATGGTGGAAGTTGGGTTCTCAAGTAAACCATCTGTAGAACAGGGTGCAGCAGCGACACTTGAATTATTCCGATTACCCACAGCGTTGTCATGTTGGTAGAAAGATAATAGAACATGCTTGTTCTTGGAAGATCTTTGGAGGTGCAATTTAACGAATGCATGATGAGACATAAGGGTAGTCCAGGTCTTAGAAAGGCACCTGAATCGCATGAGATCCTTCACCGGAAGCCATGACAGAATTTCCAAGATGAGTTCTTGAGGGAGTTCTGGAACATAAAAGAGCATTTCTTTCTTCATCTTTATTCGTTGCATGAGATTGCGCTTCTCAAACCTTGGTCAACAATAACACTGCCTTCACTCTTCAAATCTCAAAGTAATCTCTGTACGTTGTCACGACCCCTAACCAGTTTTCAAATTTTTCATATGGATTTTAATACTTTCTATGAGGAAATAAATAATAGTGGAAGGAGAGGGAAATTTCAAATGATTTTAATTTGTGGTATTTAATTAAATTTTTTAATGTAAAAAGGTTACGTCTATTTAATTAAGATTTCTTTTTCTTCTTTATTAATTATTAGTGAAAAGTGAAAGTGAGATATTGTGTATCTCATCATTAAGGAATGAAAAAAAAAATAAAACTAAGAATATATTGTTAACTTTCTTCAATAAATAAATAACTATATTGATAACTGTAAGGATTATTTTTTTTATCATTAATTTATAATTTTTTGTTTTTAATTACAAAAAAATTATTTGTATTTCTACTCACTAACAGTAAAACCTAACATATTATTATTGTACATTGTTGTTCATCTTTATGAACAATTAGGATCCACTTTCTAATTCGAAACTTATATAATAAAACATTAATAATTTGAGACATGGGATAAAATTGTAAGCCTTATCTGCATGATATGCAAGTCTTCTAGTTCTCAATAGTAATTGGATAACAAAACACAAAAATTGTAAGCCTTATCTGCATGATATGCAAGTCTTCTAGTTCTCAATAGTAATTGGATAACAAAACTACTAAGTGTTTAAGTGTGAATAACCCATGAAATTTATAAGGTGACAAAAAAGAAATGAGTGGGAGAGATCCTTAAAATCTTCTTTTATATTTTTAATGAAAAAATTGGCTTCTAAAACTACCCAAGAGTAGAACCAAGTCAGTTGATCTATAGGATAAGCTGAAATCACCTCTTAGGAGACAAGTAAAAAGGATAATAGACACATAGTTAACAAAAATAAATAGAATATTTGTTAGAAAAGAATGGCATAATCCAAGAGAGGGGTGAATTGGATTCTATGACACTTTAAAAATTTTCAGATTATTTATGATCTTTATTTTACTTAAACTTTTCTAAAAATGAATTTTCAATGAAGTTTCTTAAAGACTTGTTATAGAAGAATGAATCCTATATGTTTTCTTGATTAACCAACAATGAGGTTCAAGGATAATATCAATATGTAATGCTTTGATTCAATTTAAACCAATGTTATTCATGCACACATATTAATCAAGAACAATCTTCTTTAATGCACAATCAAGAAATTACGCAAAGTAAAAGATAAGGGTAAGAGAAGATTGCACAAGTCTTTTATCCTGGTTCAGCCACTCCACATGTGACCTACATCCAGTCCTCAATCATAACCTGATCAAGATTTGTTCCACTATCTTAATGAAGAAGGTTTACAAGCATACCACACATGCATATACTCCTACATTCAAGATAACCACTTTCTTGACCTCAAGAAAGCACCCCTTGTAGAAACCCACTACAAGAATTCCTTACCACTTGAGAAACCCTCTCAAGATTTACAAGTATTCACAAAGAATTAAGGAACGAATTCACCTGGAATTCAGAAGCAAATCTTAATCTCTTTCCTTTCAAGAATGTGATGATGATGATGATCTTTCCTCAAAGTTTTTCACAAACGTTTATCTTCTTGGATTCACAAAGAAAACTCTCCAAGATTGTCACAAAGACTTCACGAAAACGCTTTTCTAATTTTGATTCTCAATTCTAACTCTGTTCTGAAGTTTCAAAATGTTCAAACTATTTATAAGAGTTTCAGAACCAGATAATCGATTATTTTAAAGAATAATCGATTATTTTGTTCTTCAGGTTTTCTGGAAACCAACCAAGAACAATATAATCGATTATTTTGCTGGATAATCGATTATTCCAGAGAGTCATTTATGGGATAATCGATTATTTCCCAAATAATCGATTATTGCAGCAAGGCATCCCTTTTTGCCTGTTGCTGGAATAATCGATTATATTTAATGATAATCGATTATTTTGAGTTAGTTTTCAAAACTTCATTTTAAGTCTCAAAATAACTTCTCAATCCTTTTAACTCATTATCATACACTCCCTAATCAGATTAGATATAGATTTAGCTCATGCACACAGCACACACAAAAGATAAACTCAATCAAAACAATTTTATACACTATAAACTATTCTATTACATAGCATTTTCCTTTGACTTTGTTTTTGACTTCTTTGATGTTGATGTCCTTGGTACACACTTGTTATCATCAAAACTCTTCAATCTTTAGAGGTGATCCCATCAATCTCAACAATCTCCCCCTTTTTGATGATGACAAATCAAGCTAAGCTTTAACCATTTTGTTCACTTTGCTCTTACTTTTTCTTTCATAATCAAAACCTGCAAAACAACCAGAACAAAACCTTTCTCCCCCTTTGGACATCATCAAAAACAAATCAAGCTATGTATGTCCACAAGACACAGTATGAGCCATATGCACACACCTTATATGCTCAGAACAATACCAACTTAAAATTGATTTAACACATCATAGGTATTGGTCAACAACAAACTTTGTGAACTTGAACTATAATATCCAAGTCAGAACCATTAGATCAGCAACTTAAGCATGAATTGGTCAGCCAGAAATTACAAGTTACAATCCATAACTCAGAAATTCAAAATCAAAAAAACATTATCAATTTGGCTTACCAGAAATCAAATATCAAAATATCAATGCTCAAGAAAAAATAGAACAACATCTTGCTCAAAAACAGAGCATCATAACATCAACCAACCAAATCAAATATTGTCACACCATTCAAACCAATATATCAGCAATTCAAACTTCAAATACCATCAGAAATTAAATGTTCAACAGATTAAAGCATTAAAGTTGTTCCGGAATTAAAAATATTACAACCAAATTGAAATGAAAATTCAAAAACAGAATTTAAAATTCCTAATTAAAACTGGTCAACAAAACAGAGCACTAATCACTCCAAGTCTTCAGGTATGCCTAGGTGAGTCTTGAGTCGATTAACCTCACGATCAAGGTCATCAAACCTATCAAGAATACCAGAAAACAATGACTCGTCCCTTCTAGACATCTCCATCACAGCATCAAGCTTATTAATCAAAATTTGCTCGAATGGAGAGAATGGCTTGGGCTCCGCTTCTGGCTCCCGGTCAGGTTCAGCTTCAACCTGTGGTGGCTGATCTTCATCATGTGATGGAACGCCATCTTCATCTGTCGCTGGTTTAGGGGTTGGAGGTACATCTCCCTTGAATACCCACTTATCTTCTTGCTTGAGCATCCCCATGTGATGCAAGGAAGATTTCTCAATTTTGTTAGAGGCATGGAGAATTATTTTCTTCTCCCCTGTCAAGTCTACCCCTGCATTCTCAAAAATCTTAGACAGCAACAAAGCATATGGAATTGGTCCATCTTCTTTCCGTCTTGCCTTCCATACACAGTCATTTACAACTGATACCCAATCAATCTTGATTTTCTTCTTAATCACATGCATTAATAAAATGTCATCCCTTGACATTTGGGCATGATTATGCAAACGGAGTTTTAACATCCAAGCAATAATAAAGGAAATTAAACGGGAATTTTTTGTCTGACAATCTCTGAAGGTTGTCAGCTCCTCAAAATCACCAAAGTTGAAGGGTTAAGGTTTTTCACTCCCTGTGCCGCTCAACCCGACAACCGCCTTCAAAGTTGGCCCGTCAAGCTTAATCAGCTTCCCCTTCACAGCTGATTGCATAATGCCTTCATTGCTTATTGCAAAGGAAAGAAACAGCCTGATTATCTCAGGGTAGTAGGGATCTTCCATCTCCAAAAACTTCCCAAGTTCTTGGTGCTCCAGTAGGGTTGGAAAGCTAAACCCTTCATTCTTAAACCACTCCAACTTTAGGATTTTGGGAAGGATGATTCTTCGACCCGCATAACACTCGAAGTAATATTCTTGGGTTTTCTCATCAGCGAACCATTTGGAAATCAGTTGCCCTGAGGGCAGAGGGCGCTTGCTCCCCCTCACTTCAAGCTTCTTGGGTCTCTTGGAGGAAGAAGCCATGAATGGGTCTTGGTGGAGAAGAAGAGAATGAGAGAGATGAGGAGGTTAGGGTTTGAGGGTTTGAGAGAATGTGAGAATGTGGAGAAAAGAGAGGTTTTGGGAGTAGTTATGCCCTAGCACGTTCTGAGTGGGAGAAGTTTCTCAAATGAAGTGTAATGGGAGGTTTTAAGGGTTTGGCGCGTATATAACCGTTCAAAATGCTTCAGGAATGTCTAAAGTCGCCCAGATAATCGATTATTTATACAAATAATCGATTATTTGTATTAGTAAAACCCTTTAAAAACTCTGTCTGCTATAGATAATCGATTATTTTTAGAATAATCGATTATTCCAGAGAGTTGTTTTTCCTAACTTTGCCCAGATAATCGATTATTTTCAAGATAATCGATTATTCCAAAGGCCTTTCAAATTCCTCTTCCCAGATAATCGATTATTACCCTAGATAATCGATTATTCCAGAGACTCTTGAAATTCTTTATACCAGATAATCAATTATTGCCCAAATAATCGATTATTACAAAGGCTCTTGGAATTCTTATCTCCTAGATAATCGATTATTACCCAGATAATCGATTATTATTATCTTGGAATTCTTCATACCAGATAATCGATTATTACCCAAGATAATCGATTATTCCAGAGAACTTTTGCTTCTCAGAAATTTAACCTTTCAAATTACTCCAAGTCTAATTTGCTCCTTTAATACTCTCTTTTATGCATCAATGTTTCACACTCATTTCAAACAATCATACAATTAATCTCAATCAATTTAAACAAGATTCATTGATTATCCCTACTGCTTTCTTGAAGAGATTTTGGCCTCTTGTCAAGGTGGATGTGATGGATTTTCTTGCTGAGTTTCATACTAACTTGAAGGTTCCAAAGGCTCTTTTGTCTTATTTTGTGGCCTTGGTCCCCAAGGTTCCAAATTCATAATTA